AAAAAAAAAAGAAACACCTTTAGGTGCTTTATCCTCTAGGCTTGGTGTCAAAAGCATCTTTAACACAGATAAATCAAATGGTTTGAAGACACAAAAACTGCATGGAAAATGAACAACTCACAGTCATAAAACATAGATACGGCATTATTAATAATGCTAGCACGTGGAAGGCCTGAAAAAAAGATTTAACATTTCTACTTGGAGTTTCAGAAAAAAGATAATACAGAAATGGGAAGAAATAATATCTGAAGAGATGATGACAAAGAATTATAGAACTACAGGAAATATAATCCTCAGATCCAGGAAGCCCAACAAATCTTAAGTAGGATAAATATAAAGAAATGCATATCTCATTACTTTGTAGTAATACTGCCATTCACATTAAAAAAAAAACTTTCAAAGTAAAGTTAATCAAATTTTAAAAAGCAGTCAAATAGAAAAAAAATTAATAACACGATTTCTAACTTTGCAACAAGAGTAGAAGCCAAAAATCACTGCAATAACATCTTAATGTGCCTTTACCATAAAATACTCTTAACCTAACTTCACCTAAAGGAACTTCTAAAAAGTTCATGTCAGACAGAAAGATCGGAAAAATTTTTTTTTTGGAGGGGGGTTGTTTGTTCATTTTTGGCAGTACTCGGGTTTGAACTCAGGGCCTCATGCTTCCTAAGCAGGCGCTCACTTGAGCCACTCCACCAGCTGGGGACTAGGGTTTGAACTCAGGGCTTTGCACTTACAAAGCAAGTGCTCTAACACTTGAGCCAGATCTCCAGTCCATTTTGTTCTGGTTATTTTGGAGATGAGGTCTCGAGAACTATTTGCCTGGGCTGGCCTCAAGCTGCGGTCCTCCCAATCTCAGCCTCCCAAGTAGCCAGGATTACAGATGTGAGTCACCAGCACACGGATGAGAGAAATTCTTTTTAAAAGCTTAACAAAGATTTTGGAAGAACCAAAACAATTAACAATGTATATTTTATAGAACGGAAAGAGTAAATAGTCACAAAATATCAGCCAACAAACAGCATGTAAATTGGGAGGTGGTGATCAGAATTAGAACATTCTAAATTCTTTGTATTTTTCAGAAGGAACTTAAACCTATTATCTTTACAGTACAAACAGAGGATATACAACTTCCACACAAACGTGAAGTTATATACTCTATTTTAATAATAGATTTTGGGGGTGGTACTGGGGTTTGAACACAGGGCCTTGTACTTGCTAGGTAAGCACTCTACCACTTGAGCAATGCATCTAGCCCTTTTGTTGTAGGATATTTTTCAGATAGGGTCTCACATATTTTACCCCAGATACCCTTGCGACCACAAGGGTATCCTATATAGCTGGGATTATATGTGCTCTACCACATCAGGCTTAATTATTAATTTTTTGCCTGAGCTGCCCTCAAACCATGATCATCCCTGATCTTCACCTCTTGAATAGCTATAGTAATAGATATTTATTTAAAAGCAGTATATAGATCAATACAGCAAAATTAAAAATTGAAATTGACATATATACACATTGTCACTAGCAATAAAAAATATACATTATTCTCAAACACAAGGGCCACTTAGAAAAATCTACCAAATGATAAGCTAAAATATTAGGCTCCAATTTCATGACTTAATCATACAGACTACATTTTACCACAATACAATTAAGTTTAATAACAGAAAGATAACTAGAAAAATTCCATACATCTGGAAACCTAAAATACTATTTTAACAACTGAAGTCAAAGAAGAATCATAATAGAAATTAGAACACATTTAGAACTACAAAAATAAAAATACTTCATATCAAAACTTGTAATAGGTTATAACTTAAATGTCTACTTCAAAAAAGGCTCAATATTATCAGCAAGGTATTTAATAGCTAATCAAAAAATGAAAGGATAAACACAAAGGAGAAAGGAAGCTATAACTAAAGAGTAGAAATTAAAATAGGAAATAAAACACCATACAATGGCTCTAAGTAAAAATATTAACAATTGAAAAATAATAAAAGACAAAGTTCTAACAAGGTTCATCTTTTAAAAATAAAGCAAACATCATTAGGAATAAAAATAGGGTATAACCACATATGTAAGCAAGAGTAAACAAAGAATACTATGAACTCTATACCAATAAATAAAAATTTTTGTTTAAGGGCAGACACAGTGGCTTATATCTGTAATCCCAGCTACTTGGGAGGCAGAGGTCAGAAGACTACAGTTTGAGGCCAACCTAGGCAAAAAGTTAGCAAAACCCTATCTCAACCAATAAACGGGGCATAGTGGTATGTACCTGCCATCCCAGCTCCTTGGGAACATAAATAGAAACATCAAGGTCCAGGTCTGCCCTGGGCAAAAAACACATGACCCTATCTGAAAAATAAAGAAAGCAAAAAGGGTTGGGAGAGTGGCTCAAGTAGTAGAGCACCTGCCTAGCAAGCCAGAGGCCCTGAGTTCAAACTCTAGTACCACCAGAAGATTTTTTTTTTAAAGTAGATAAATTCCTAGAAAAAAATAGAACCAAAACTGAATTTTAAAAAATAGAAAAATTAAAGTAATTAAATCAGCAGTTTAATAGCTCCCATAAAGAAAAGATCAACCCAGATAGTTTTACAAGGAACAAACAATTTTGCACAAACTATTCCAATATACAGGAAAAAAAGATTTAAGAAAATTTACATTACCTGTTTCATCAAATGATGGTACTTTTTCAACTCTAGGAGTTTGTGATCCCTGTCCTTCTTTCTGAACATTTGTAGAGTACAACTTTACTTGACTCAGTGCACAAATACATGGGCGTGTATATGGAACCATGTATGCAAAGTTTCCAAATGTCACTAAATTCTGCCATCCTAAAAGAAAAAAAGTTAATTTCAAACCAACTCCGAGAAGCACAATTAACAGGCCACCTTCTCCACTGGAGGTATCTCCTTAGTTATACAGGGATCACATGTTGTAAATTAAAAACAGACAATATTTTAATTTTTCTCTAATTTATAAATTTTGAAACTTTAAAATATATAAAATCAAATAAAACATTCATATTCAGCTATTCTGAAAGATGTCTAGTACATATTATTCTTTATTTTGCATATTAGCTGCATGCTTTTAAAAAGCTGGCATAATGTATTTTCAGAATGGAGGGCTCTGGGTGGATGAAGGTCAAGGGGGGTCCTTACTCAAAATTATCTGGTGTTCTCTTTCTACTATTTGGGAGATTCCCTCATTTCACAATCAATAAATGAATTATATTAATCAGTCATTCATACTGTCACTGATTTTTAATCAGATAATTCGGTCAACATTTGGTGAGATGCCCCAGTATATGGAAATTTTAATTGGGAGAAGAACAGGAGACTAATTAAGAAGCAGCTGCATCAGGGGTGACTATAGGCTTTAGAGGACTAAAACACAGAGGGAAAATATATTCCACAACTGTATTGATGTAACAGAAAAGTACCCTCCTCTTCCTCTTTTATTTTTTACTATGAGTATTAGAATTCTTTTTGAAAGAACTAAAAAACTATCTAGATACACTTATATTTTCTAAAGTTTTATATGAAATAATAAAACCATATCATGGATAATTCTTTTTTGGATGCCAACTTATTCTTTCATTTACTTGAGAAATTGTCAAACGCTCAGTAAGTTTTTGGTCATTTGCATCTATTTCTTAAAGACTGAGTAAATAAAATATAACAATGGAAGATTCCTGCATATTAAGACATGACTTACTAGCAAAATTAACTGGTAAAGCAAGGGCTAAAGCTGAGTCTCATCAAAAAAAATTAACGCTCTGGAAACACATTTCCTTCACTATGACCACTGGTTGTTCTCACTTGTCAGCCCTATTCAAAATATCTTTTGTAATTACCACTTAACAAGGACAATTTGACACTTTTAAAATTTTTATTTTAAAGAAAAGAGACTTATTTTGGCTCACAGTTCTGGAAGTACACAGTGCAAACAACATGGTGCTGGCTCTTGCAAGGGGCCCCTAGGAGGAGTGTGTATCTCTCTCTCTCTGGCCTTTCTTCCTCTCCTTATAAAGTTCCCAGGATTCAATCTCTGGAGTGCTACCCTAATGACCTAATTTAATCACCTCCCAGAGGCCCCACCTCTACACACCATAGTAGGTTTGAGTTTTCACCCTCTTTCTACCATTACATGTGACTTCTGCATGGGGAGGGCAGTAAGAGCAGAAACAAGAAATGCTTAGTAAATCAGAAGGTGAGCCCTGCCCCTCTCCCTAAGAAAGATGGGTGTAAATGCTCCCTATGCCTCTGAACCACAGTGCCACCACTGTTTCTCATCCACTGATGAAATACTTTTATAGAGTTTGTGCTAGGATGTTTAAATAGTGATTAGAGTCTAAAAATCCTTCCTCATGACTGCAGGTATTGCTCAAGCTATAGAGCACCTGCCTAGCAATTTTCAAACCCCAGCACGACAGACACAGACACACACAGACACACACACACACACACACACACACACACACACAAATCCTTCAGAAGATGACTTGTTTCTGTGACTTAATGCTAGACCTTCTTTCAAGGTTATCATTGGTTTTTAAAACATTTTACTGAAGTTCAAACATAAGCAAAGGCAGAAAAAACAGTACTCACTTGCCTACCTACAAAAATTATCAACTATAGTCAATCTTGTCTCATATTTACCTGCACCAACACCTTTATACCACCAAATTTGAACCAAATCTCAAACATAAAATTTCATTCATAAATATTTCAGTATATATGTCTAAGAACTTTTTAAACAAAACCAGAACACCATTTCAAGTAAAAAAAAAGTCCTTAACATCAAATATCAAAAATCCTCAATTTCAAATGTACACTTGTTAAAATTTTTTTCCAGTTTCTATGTGAACAAATCCAAGCACCACACACTGTGACTGAGATCTGTTTTAAATCTCTTTTAAGCTACAGAACAGTTTTTTAAACTGCACTTTTAAACTCTGAAGAAACCAGGTTGTTAATATTACAAATTTTTGTACGGTAGTTTCCTACTCTGAATTTTGCTGATTGAATTCCCATGGTGTTGTTTAACCTACTGTTCTTAATGTTTTCTAAATCAATGGATGTAAAGGCTTCATCTAAATTCAGGTTCACAAGAGTGCCACCTCTTAAGTAGTGATGAGGTCTTTTACCAAGAGCCACACTAATGTGTACAGACCTCGCCTAACATGCCCAAGGCCTGGGTTCCACCCCCAGTATTACAAAAACAAAACAACTACCAAAAAAGTCACAATATCTGATTGTTTGTTTGTAAGAGTAGTCTTTACTTTTGCTCAATGCCTATGCCTAGAACCATTTACTCACTAGTTAGTTACAAAATGGTGATATTCTAACTTTATTACTTCTTCATTCATTACTCAGAATACCTTTACAAAGAGAAAATCCCCTCATATATTTGGTTATCTTAGTAGCATAGCTTATGTACAAGTCAGGCTAAATGTTTAATGCTTTCTTTTTAGTTACCAATTCTCAAAATAGTAAGTTTATTACCATACTGCAGTGGTGACACAGTTTAGATAGTGCATCATTACAATTTCATAGTTAAACATTGTTTGATATATTTTAATCCATTTTAACCATTATCCTGAGTAATGCTTAAAGTGTCCTATTTTTGGCCAGCAGGGGTCTCTTCAAATTCTTCTGACACCATCCTAGTAATAGCTGTTTTGAAATGTCCTTAATTTTTACCTCAGTAGAATTTCAGGTATCACCAACTTTAAAAGTATACATTTATCATTAATACAAAACTAAAAGCTATTTCTAGTCTAAAAGTTACATAGAACCACATGTGACTTAATAAAGCAAATATAATACTGACATCATAGTGGTAGAAACACATCCATCTGTAGAATGAATTGCTGAGGTCATTATTTCTAACTGACAGAAAAATAGTAAAAAAAAAACAGTAGGAGGGAGAGGGCATAAGGAAAGGGTGAAGGAGGGTGAATATGGTGGAAGCATTTTGTATTCATGTATGAAAACAGAACAATGAAAGCTGCTTAAACTGTTCTAAGAAGAGGGAGAGGGATAAAGGAAAAAGATGGAAGGGGTGAATCTAAGATATACTGTAAGCACTTAAGTAAATATCATAATGTACCCCTATACAATTATAATATGCTAATAATAATAAATAAACCTGATTTAACAAAAAAACTCACTTGTAAACTATATTTTATTAAAAAAAGAAGAAAAACAGTTAAAAAAATAGGACCCAATATTAATACCCTTTCTTCATGCTGACATCTAAAATAAGCTACATACAGGATTTTAGTTTGACACATACTGTTCTACAGACCTGAGCAAGGACATTCTTATTGCTATATATGTGGGCTGTTCTTCATCAAGATTGCAGAGTTATTGGTATCTTATGAGTCTAGTCCTAACAATCATAGGTCTAGTCATGGCAAATCTCTTTTAGTTTACTGTTACCTCCTCTGCAGCTCCTAATGACCATTGCTACTGACACCATTTGTCCTCTCCTCTCAATCTGATGTGTCAACTACCACTGAACTTTGGTTTTCAGAAAAAAAATGTGGCCTCATGTGTCCTTATTCAGACTTTAAAAAACAACAAAAAGAAAATCCTTTTCTCACATGCAAACTGTATATGTTGCTTTGGCAAGAACAACTGAAAACAAACCAAAAGATATCTTATGGTTTGAGTTAATTTCTGACTAATTGCAGGGGCAGAATCAAGTTTGTAGCCTACGCCTTGCAGGTATAGATCTTCTTACCTAAGAGGCTATTTCAATAGTTTTTTTTTTTTCTAAAAACTAATTGTCACACTTACTTTCAAAGAGTTACTAAGTATGAATTTAAAATGCATAACAATATAGACTGTGAAGACTATTCTTCATAGTATTATCACTGGGAAAAAAACAGAAGCAACTTAAATGTTCCATAACGGAAGAATGATTATGACAGGTTCCTACACTTTCATTCTGTATTTATTAAAAACTTTTAATAAGAAGGAATAACATCCTGGTGCATGAAAAAAGCAGGAGACTAATGTAGTATGGTTTCAGCTATTTAAAATCTGGTGAAACATCTGCATTATAAATAATTTTTATTTCATACCTTCTACTTTTTTGTATTTTAAAAATATCCGAAATAAGAGGAAACTAAAAATATATCCATTGCTAAATTATCTGGGACTTAATCAATGTCTTATTAACTCATTGTCACAACCTGTAACATTCTGTGTAGTAGCAATACACTGGATATCCCCAGGTTACTTTTACACTTTCAGCTAGCCAAAATTGCAAGAAAATCTAGGAAGTAGAAGTTTGACCTACACAGAAAAGCGTGGCCTAGAAGACTGGCTAATGTGATTTTTCTCAAGACCAGAGTAAGGAACAGGTCATCTTTTTTTGAGGGGCATACTTGGAGTTTGAACTCAAGGCCTCACACTTAGGTAGGCAGGTGCTCTATCACTTGAGCCATACCACCAGCCCAGGTTATCCTTTTTTTGAGTAAGGAAACAATTGGAGATGTTGACAACTTCCTGTACTGCATCTTGACATACGTCTCTATAGTCATGCTTAACTACTTTGGACATTTGCTTAGAAAAAGTAAAAACAGCATGCAATCCCAGCACTCAGGAGGCTGAGGCAGGAGGATGGTGAGTTTGGTGCCAGCATGTACTACACAATTCAATTTGTGACAGCCTGGGTGATACAGCAAGAGAAAGGGAGGGAGGGAGGAAGGGAGGGAAGAGAAAAAGTAAAAGTGACGAAAACATTTCACATATTAAGGATTTACCAAGTACCATTGTGCTAAAAGGTTTATATAATATCAAGTTTACATTCCAAAACATATCTTAAATCCATCTATTTCTCTCCATCTCCATTGCTAACCAGGGTGGTCCTAATACAACTTTGCTTGCCTCGATTATTAGTTATCTCCTTACCTGCACTCTACCCGTCCCAATCTATCCTCCACACAGCAATCACAGTGTATTTTTAAAACAATACTTTATTTTTTTAATCTGGAAAGCTCTAACAGCTCTCAAACTTCATTTCATCCCACCAAACCTTTCCACAGCCCCAGCAGGTTTCCTTATGCGGAAGACTAGCACTTGTGGTTCCTCTTCACTCTGGGCAGATTGCTCTTTCCCCTAGATCTTCACCTGGCTTACTTATTTTCATCTGTCTTGCCTTAGCTCAGTCATTACCCCCCACCACTACGGAAAAGCTGTGTTCCAGGCCAGCGCATCTGGAAATGCCCCCTCCTAGCTACACTTCTAGCCCATCACTCTGGCTTTTCTCGTTCACGACATTTTAGATATGTTTTCTTATTTTGGATATCTACTCAATAAAGGTGAAAACCACATCTGTCATGTTCAGTACTATACTACTGGCCAGGATAATGCCTGGCATCACTTTGTTGAATGATCCTCATTCACAAAACCCCTACCTATTATAGCTAGCTTCACTTTATAGTTAAGTACAAGAAATTCTAACATTAACTTGGTCTACATAGAATCAGCCTATTCTATTCTAACTTAACTATTTTCAGTTATTTAAAGAGGATAGAAGGAAGGGACCTCTGCTGGGAATAAAAGTTAAAGTCTCAGCCTAGTTTCCTTATGGTAATAAATACCAGCAGATTAGAGTAAGTGTAATATACAAAGGTTTCATTCCTCTTTCTTTAAAAATTATACTTTTATTAATCTCAGATTTAAGCAAAACCATGTATCTATTAATTTGGTATGTAGTATTTGAAGAAGCATCTTCCAATCTCAAATTTCTATCAAATGAGGCAAAGTATAAATACGTTAACAAAGTAAACATGTGCTTCACGTAAGGCCAAAGGAACTTTTTAAAAAAAAGATATATTTACTACAGAAACTATTTTTTATTATTTAGAAGTTTATGTTTATAGTAGATCATTTGGAAAACACAAAAATATTTTTAATGTCGCAGTACATAGTTTATTGTATTTTCTCCACTTTTACCTAATAATACATCAGCAGTATTTTTCCATGTCACTATTCTTCTAAATTATGATTTAAAAAACAATGGTTGCAAGTATCATCAGTCTGTAAGTCCACCATAATATACTTCAGTTTTTAACTCTTAACTATAAATAAGCTACAATTTTTTAATGTAATGTGTACTTCTGTACACATTTTAATACGTATCTGATTATTAATTCAAAATAAATACTTTTACGTGGAATTGTTCGTTAAAAAGCATAAGCCTTTTAAATTTCTTTTTACACAAAGAATAAGAAGAGTTTATTTTGGAGAAAAGAAAGTACAGTAGCGATACCAGCACTTCCCTGCATCTCCACAAGACTTAAGCAAAACAACAGTTTAACCTATATTATTTATGTTCCTTTCTTTTTAGTCTTTACTCTTTTTGTCCCTTTCATTATTGTTGTTATTGGCGGTGTAGTGAGTGTTTATAGGTCTTTGTACTAGTTGTGTATCTGGTTTGTTTTTGCGTTGATGTGGTTAACTGCAGTTTATAACTTGAGTGGCTGCGGGAATTGAGCCCTCAAGAGAAGGCTACTGATTAAGAAGACCCTCATATAAAAGTAGGAGAGATCTATGCCAACAGATGCATAAATAACACAGAAACACAAGAAATATGTAAAAGAAGACAACATGACTCCTTCAAAAGAATATCTAACCTCCTAGAATGCTGTTAACTACATGCTCCCCATCAGCAGTATGAGCTCCTATTTTCCTGCACCTTTAATATGGGGCACAATTACTATGAAAATTTTAGCCAATACAAGATAGGCAGTGAGTAGTAAAAATCCTTTAAACATACATATCTATGCTATTCAGTTAATATGGAACATTTCTGCATTTCTATTGGCACCAGAACTTCTTCATGAACTCATTCATTTTAATTGCCCATTTTTCTACTGGAATGTGCACTGGTTTATTAAAATTCTTTATAAGTTAGGGATACTAACTCTATAGCTACACTATCTAATAGTCACTATACACTGAGTGCAGTTAGTTCACTTATATACTGAGTGCTGTAAGTGTAAAACATACCCTGGAGTTTTTGGGGGGTGTGGGAGGGCACGGCACTGGGGTTTGAACTCCAGGGGCCTCATGATTGCTAGGCAGGTGCTCTAGGGCTTAAGCCACTTTGTTTGCCCTGTTTTGTGTTGGGCATTTTCAAGACAGGGTCTGGCTTTGAACCACGATCCTCCTGATCTCTCCTGAGTAGTGAGGATTACATGAGCCACCAGAACCCAGCCTATACAATGGATTTTGAAGACTTAATAAAAAAAAAAAAAAGCACAGTAATTTTTATGATTGCATGCTGAAATATTTTTAATGTTGGGTAAAAGGTATTAAAATTTATTTCATCTAATTTCACCTTTACCAGAAAACTCAAAATTACATGAGGCTCCTGTTTCTTTTGGACAGCTCCTCTTGGATACTGTTTTCATTTTGTTGACTTTACAGGTGTTTCTCATCTGTAAGTACCCAATCAGTGGACCTTGTTTCCCTCAAGATTTCCTCCTCTCTTTATTCTTTAGAACCTTTCCCAGACACACAGGCATTTCAGAAGCCTAAACTTTACTTCTTCTCAAAGGAAAACATTTCGGATTTTTTTCTCAAAAGCTCTTCATTAGTCTTTTATATTACATGCATGCAACTTAAATAGTATTTTTTAAATGGCTTTTAAATTTCACTATAATTATGGCTGCCCTTTGAAACAGTGTTTCAGTACTATTGAAACTAAATTCCCACAAACAAGGTTATTTTTTAAATCTAGCGTTTTATAAATGTGAAAATACATTTAAAATTTTTGTAGTAATAAACATTCCAAAGAACTTTGCAAAGTCATTCTGACTGGTGAGATAGGTAATTACTGTCATGATTTCACAGGCAGATGAGACAAAAAGCCTACAATTTTCAACATGATGGCAGCTATAGGGATTAGGGATTACAAATTACACTATTTCAACTCCTTTACCAACACCTACAGGGCATTTTAGACTAAATCTGACAGCCACTATATGTAATTTCAGTGCAAAATACCAAAACTGCTTTGTCAATAAAAGCAATTATGTTAGAAACTTTAATTGGGAATTTTGGAGTTCGGATTCAGTCTGCTCATAAGACAATCAGAGATAGGAAAAACCAACAGTGATGCTACAATAAATTCTTTTGAAATTTTTAAAGCCAGTTCTTACATTTATCGCAAATTAAAGCTACGAATATATCCTTCTTTGCATAGCACAGGAGCTTACTAAGGCTTACACTACTTAAAAATGTCCATGACTGCAACTTCCGACTTCTATTGTCAAGTCACAAATATGCCACAAGCTTTCGAAACGTGAATTTCAGAAAAATGCTTCTGTAAATACTCTTTGCAATTCCCAAGAATCTGGTGGATTAGATTAAGGGTGGATTTAGTCCTCTCTTCTCCCTCAGGGTTCCCATCACTTCTCGGTGTCAAACTATGGCAAAAAGGAAGGTGAACAGGAATGGAAAGTACATATTCAATGGCATTTTGGAACTTCTCGAACAACGTAAATTTGAGTCAGAAAAGAATGCTGACGGAGAGACAAGAAAATTCTCACAAACCACCCTTTTGTCTGGGTCATAGTTCCAGTAGACACTTTTTCACCACAAAGATGGTTCAACAGAACTTAGAAGTTAGGTCCTACGGTCTGAAACTGGGGTTATTCAATGACTGTGAGATAACCTCTTACTTCTTAAGATCTGTAATGTTACATGTCCACACTTCTCTTTTAGGAAATTTAAGGAAACGAGTCGGGAGAACGAGAAAAGCAGCAGCGCAAGAGTATCTCAGACCAAAGTGCTAAATTAAAGTGAGTACGTGAGCTCCAAAGACCCTGAAACTGCGGAATCCGCCATTTCTACCAGGTCCCCGCGAGACGCACGTAACGCTTTGTTTGGCCCAGAGCTGGGGGCTTCTGAGGTGCGACCCCGCGGCGGGGTCAGTGCTGGGACGGCAGGCGGAGGCAGGCTCAGGACCTCGCAGGGCAAGCGGACTGGTCTGGGAGAACGGAGGCCAGAAAGGCAGACTGGCACTGGGGAAGGACAAGCTGGCGAACTGCCTAAGGCCAGACGCCGATCGCCCAGCCCTGCCAGGCCCTTTCGGCTTTCGCAGACCCCGCCGCCCGCGCCGGACACTCACCCAGGCGGTCGCTGGAGCTGCGGCCGGCCGCCCTGCAGCGTAGATGGAGCCGGCACAGGGAGGACCAGCTACATCTGTGGGCCGCAGTAGCGGCGGCGGCCAGGCCCGGTAACATCCTGGCGGGGCAGAGGCCCCCACTCGGACACCACCTCCACCCTCCGCGCCGCCACCCGCACCAACTGACTCCATAGACTGGACACCAGCTAATAGCGACGTCCGCGCCGCCGCAGGCGGCCTCAACGACCCGGAAATCGAGGCGTCATTTAGCAACACCCGCCGCGGAGTCAGCGGAAGTGACGTAGTGCACTAAGCGCCAATCGCGAGGCCTTTCCAGCGCAGACCCCGCCTGCATGGGGAGGGCGTGGCTACCGATGGAGTTAAGGTGACTACAATAACTTGTGTACTTTTCGCTTCTGTATTTTTGAGCCTGCCTGGGAATTATCTCCCAAATTGTTTGCATCTTAGCAGCCGAAGTGACAGCCTTTGATGCCGCTGCCTACTTCTTTCTGCTTCCTGGGCTCGAAGCCTGAGCCATGGTGTTGGAAATGGGAAGAGGACCCGAGACCATCCCAAGCCGAGACTAACACGTCCACTGTACTCCCCTGTAACACCATCGTGTGTTCGGTACCGGGAAGGCAAGTACACCCTTCGGAATCACTTAACTTGCCTTGCTAATTTTCGAACCTCACATTCTCGGCTGTAATGTAATAAAATTAGCGCTACTGTATTTCTTGATACGTGGGGGTGAACGAAGGTATAACGATTGCGAAACAGTGTAGTCCCCGGGAGAAAGAAGCCCAGCAGTATTGACTTCGGGGTTCACTTCACCTCTAAAAAGCTCATTCAGGTTAAGACCTTCTTTGGCCACCCTAATTGGCATGATTCTTCTTCACCTCGTTGCCGCGTATACTTTTCTTCAAAACGCTTATCGCTACTTGAAATTACCTATGTATTTGTCATTTTGTTTACCGTCTTCCAGAATAGAAAATAAACATCATGATGCTGGAATCCATGCTATACTCAAGAGGCTAAAACAATGCCTAGCACGAATCAATTACTTGAATGAAATGCAAAGTCCATCTGAGTCGCTAAACTGTATTATTACAAAATAACTTTTTCAAGGAGAAGTTAATAGTTCTTAGTTTTTGTTTTGTTTTGGTTGGTTTTTTATTGTTTTGGTGGGACTGGGATTTGAACAATTATGTTCCTAGTTTTAAGAGCATCAACACATTCTTATACTGATTGACATAAATATAATTAGATGAGTGAAGTGAAAAAAAAATCACAATGGTAAGCAAATTTAACAAATTCATCTTGGTATCAAATATGTAAAGGCTTAACTCTAATTTTACGGTAAATGTATGTAAAGTATCCATTAACCTTTGTTCAATACGACTTTTCTTTTAAATATTTTCTTTCTTTTTTCATTTTCGTTTTCGTTTTCTTTTTCTTTTTTTTTTTTGCGGTATTGGGGTTTGAATTCAGAGCCTCATGCTTGCTAGGCAGGCACTCTTATCACTTGGGCCTCTAAAACTACACGTTGTGCTAGGTTGTTAAAATAATTTTAATAACAGCTATGTAATGTGTAGAACATAATGATGGTGCATACCAAATTTTCACTGTGGGTTATTTTTTTATTCTCCTTTTTCTTAATATAGCTGGGGTGTAAGTTGATTTAGAGACTTAATTTTTATTAACCTTCAGTAGCCTCAATTTACCAAATAAGTTTGAGGAATAAAATGGATCATGTTATTTTGTTTAACCTTCCATAATGCTGTATCTCATAATAAAGTTTCAACCAACTTGGATCAAAATACTTATGCAGTTGTCTTGGTGTTTACACCTAGACATCATCATGTACTTATCCTATCAGATAGTCTTTAAGATTTCCCCAAGTGGTGAATATTAAAAGTAATGTCAGTTTAAGAGTTCCTTATGGGAATTTTCTTTGACTCTGAATTCTTTTGAGAAGCCCCATTGTTAGTAAGATATTTAGTTTTATGTTCCGGTTGATACTCATTCAGAAGCTGCTTATATGTACTAAACAGGTAAGAGTTGTTTTTCTATTGGAGGAGACAGAAGTTTTAAATGTACAGATAATTTTAAATAGTGGTAGTAGCAGTTGTAATAATATTGTTCATTTACTGACTTCCTGCCCTCTGTGTGCATTGTCCCATTCACAACACCTGAACAAGTTCTAGATGAAGAAACTAAAGCACAGATATCTTGCTCTTAAGCATCATTCCTTACTTTGTAACTCAGTGGGTACTGTTCTTTGGAAGAAACTTTGAATCTTTCAAAAAAATTGAATGACACTGTGATCTCTCATTGTTCTCTGGGATGTAGGTCAAGAGTGAGCATTTCCCCAAACATCATTTTTTGTTAACTTGATTTTTAGATTGTCTGAGTTTCATAATGATTCCTGATATAAATAGGTGCCTAAATATAGGGAACTGTTAGGTCAGATAAATGAAAACAGAAATAGGAGTCATTTGATGATTCCCATACACTGTAACTCCTGCAAATTTTCCATTTACTCTAAAATCCAACATTTTTCAGAAAACTTGCTTCTAAAATTGAGGCAACTATTCCTTGATTTCATCCTGTCTGTAGCTTTGGGGAAATGATGATTCTGATCACAAGACAATCTTAGCTGGTTCTTTGGAAAACTGACTTAGATAATCCATGACAAAATAAAGTGAGTGTCTTTATCTTGACTGAGGCCTACCAAGAATATAAGTTTAATTTTGAATGCAGATATATTTGTTGGCATCATGTTTATCCTGGAGGATTGGAGGACAAGGGAGCTTACCTGCCTGAACACTTTAAAAAGAAATGGCCTACACTTGGATAAAAAAGAGAATCATCTGACCACATCAAGGTGTCAGTCACCATACTATACAATCAGAGTCAGAAGTAAAATGGATACACACAGACACATTTTTCATGTGGCTTCAAACCACGTTGCTAATTCTCATCTCCATTTTTTAGAGAAATTGATTTTTCTCCATTCATTCAGCAAGAATGTGATAGAACATGGAATTAGATGCTTGAATGAGTGTTGTGAGGAAAGGAAATGTCATAGGGTGGCATGTTCTTATGGTTTTCACCCCAACATTATTGGATGAAATTGGTTTTTGTCACACTTATTTTGTGAAATAAACATCTAGTGCTCCAGTACTAGTAAATGTAGGTTCACTCTGCCATTTCCAAGAAATAGGAGGGTGACTGCTGCAATGGTGACCGTATTCTTGGGTCCTAGCATTTTATTCAACTCTTCCTAGCTTCTACATTAATACTCCCTTCTGCAGTACATCCAGTAGGGTGGGGTGAATATAATCATAGGTATAAAACACACATTTATGTATGTGTGCATAACACACACACACACATACACACATACATACACTCTCTCTCTCTTTCCTGAAAGGTCTGTGATTACATTTGGGAAATGAAGTTACTAACTAGGAGAGACTGAACTGCTGGATTACATTATCCTTGAGAGAAATAAGCTGGGGATGGAGCATAGAGATTTGGTTTTTCTAGAGAGGGCAGCATTTGTCACTTCCCTCCCCGAAGACACAGATAGACACCAAGAGAAATTCTTACTAAGTTTTTTTAATTTTAACTTTTTATTGAAATATGAACAAAAGACGTAAGTCAGAGGTATACACCTCTAAGAGTTTCTACTAGTGAACAATACTATGAAATCAGTACCCAGTATTGCTAGCTTCCCAGAAGTCTCTCTTTTAGTCGCTTTCTCCTATCCTGAAAGTGTGTCATCAGTCCTGCTTCTAACAACACAGATTACTTTGACCTATTTGGGGAATTTATATGCATCAATTGTATAGTACATACTCTTTCTTTGGCTTCTTTTTCTCAACATTTGTGTTTTGGAGTTTCATCTGTATTGTTTTCTTTCTCATTGCTAGATAGGATTCCACTGTGTGAATATCCCACAATTTATCCATTCTACTGTTGATGAGCATATGGATCATTTGTAGCTATTAACAAATAACAAATTATATTGGACACATGTATGTACTTCTAATGGATATATTCCTAAGACCAAAATCCTTGGGTCACAGGGTATACACACACCCAACTTTAGCAGTTACTAGCTGTTTTTCCAAAGTGCTTGTACCAATACACATGCCCAGCAACAATATTTGAAAGTTCTGTTTGCTCAGAACTGCACTATCATTTGTTACTTTTTAATTTTAATCATTTTGGTGAGTATGGAGTGGTGTGGAATTGTGATTTTAATTTGCATTTCTTTCACAACAAATGAAGTTGAATATATTTTCATAAACGTATTGGTCCTTTGAATCTCCCCTTCATACTCTATTCAAAACTCCTTTCTTTTAGGTGTCTGTGTTTTTCTTACTGATTTGTATGAACTTTTTGTATATTCTAGAAACAAGTTCTTAGTTGGATATATGAGTTAAAAAATATCTTTTCTTCCTCTGGATAGTCTTGATGAAAGTAAGACCTTACTGTTAAATTATCAGTTTATTTCATCAGTGGTTAATATTTTTTTGGTTCTATTTAGCACATTTGTACCTATTATATAAGACTAGTAAAGACTTGGAGTATCTTCAAGAAGAGAAGACTAGAGCAGGGGGCATGGCTCAATCAGTACAACGTGAAGCTCTGAGTTCAAACCCTGGTAACACAAAAAAAAATATTATGGACTGTTCAAGTGGCTCAAGTGGTAGTGCACCTCCCTAGCAAGCATAAGGCCCTAAGTTCAAACCCTAATACTTCCAGAAAAAGAAAGAAAGAAAACTGATATCCCCATCCATCATTTGGATGTTTGCTCAGCCATTAAGCTTGCTAACATGCCCTTCTGCTGTGAATTTGGAGGGATCTTTTGAGCACTGGGAAGAGATGGGACCACAGAGAATCCCTGTGACGTGTGGACTATGGATCCTGCCTAATCCTGCAGAGCTCAGAGTTAATCACAGAAAGCAAATGAAATCTGGGCCTATAGTCTTGCTCTGGAACATAGCACAAAGCAAGAAGTATGTATGTATCAGAAGAATACAGTATCCACCCCTGCCAACTGGGAGACAGCCTACAAATACAAGTCAAGTAAGGGCTACTTAAGCATGATGGGCTGTTTCAGGTTGAGTTTATTATCAGTGGGGCCTGTTGGGATCCCCATACCTCCTCACTGACAGTGAGCTAGATAGCCACAATGATCTGTAGAGAAGGAACAGCAAACTTGCCACAGTCAGGCACTCAGGTGTTGCCTATTTTCCTTCTTGAGCCTCCTGCCCCACCATTAGAAGAACAGGCAGGTGGAACACAGATGTAGTTTGACTGGAGAGTAGTGAGGTTTTGACCTAAATAGGAGATTCTTTTAAATAACTAGATTTCAATACCTGGAATGAAAGTTTTAGTAACTAAGAAAGCAATACCCAGAAGCACTGAAGTTTGAAAAGTACTAAATGTTAAACTAAAAGGCTTTCATACTTGTGCCTCTTGCGTATAGCTTCTCAAACTGGTTGCATATCTTTGTTTTGCTTAATATATGTGAACATCTTTAGACAGGTATTGTTTTTCTGCATCTTTTCATCCTTAGTGTCTACTGTATATTATAGCATGAGGCATAGGGTACGTGTGAATGGAAAAAGGAATGAAAATTCTAAGAACTACATAACTCCACAAACCATCTTAGGAAAAAATAAAGACAACCCAGGAGAGGCTGGACCATCCGGGTCAGGACTCTTGGCTGGAGACCTGCTTCAAGTACGTTTCTTGGAGGTACTTCTTAACAGCTGTGGGGTTTTTCCAGAGCTCGGCAGCATGTGTGTTCAAAGGACTATCGATATTGGGTTCTCCTTGCAGGCTCTGGATGGAGCGCAGCATGGTCCTGACATCATATAGGGCAGACCACCTGACCTTGAGGATGGCCAAGCAGATGTTACCTGAGTGTCCACATTGGGGTGGTAGAGGGTGTGAGCAACTTCACTGTGGATGCATTGTA